TATGTCATATCATCATCATAGTCATACTCTAAATAACATGCGATAACACCTCTTATTTTCTATTTTATTTTTTAACTTTTGATGTTTTCAATTTCTATATTTTCAATTTGTTTTTTTATTTATGTCATAGTATTTATATTTATCATATAAATTAAATCATAAATTAAAAATAACATTTAAAAAGTAAAAATAAAATTTTAATAAATCCTAAATTAAATACAACATTAAAAAATTATAACAAATGACAAAAACATTTAAAAATCTAAATACCAAAAAAAAAAGATGTGAAAAATTACATTTTTGACCTAAATTATCTTTAGTATCATCGTAGATACGATCTGCCAAGTCTTCTCGAAGTTGTTTGTGTTTTCGTTGGTATTGAATGTCAACGATTCTATGTAATTATTTTGGTGTCCCTAATTGAAATTGAATGTGTCCAGGTTCCATAGGAAAATACTCCATAATGTTTCGTTATTTATCTTCAATCACCATGTTATCCATTATGATACATGCATACATAATATCACATAGAATGTCTAAGTGATATGGTCGTGCCGTGCGTTCAACTATATGCCATTTTGTTTTCAGAACTCCGAAAGCACGTTCCACGTCCTTATGTGCTCTTTCTTGTCTTTTCTTGAAAATTTTGTTTCTTGGTTCTATCGGGTGTCGAAACACCTTCACAAATGTGAAATATGGTGGATATATTTCATCCGTGAGGTAATACCCAAACTTATAGTCATGACCATTCACTGTGAAAGGAGCATGCAATGCCTTTGCTGTCAAAAGGTCCTTAAATATTGGTGACTGATCAATAACGTTTACGTCGTTGTTAGAACCCACAACTCCGAATAAAGCATGCCAAATCCATAAGTCTTGTGAAGCAACAACCTCTAATACCAACGAAGGCGATCCAAAATGACCACTTGTGTATTGATCTTTCCACTCCACATGACAATTTCTCAATATCCACTTTGTGTAATTAATGCTTCCAAGCATACCCGGAAAGCCATGTCGTTCTTCATGCGCCACATATAGTTGTTGCATGTCATTCCATGAAGGCTTGCGCAAGTATTTTTCGCCGAAGGTTTCAAAAACACCTCTTGCCAATCTATACAAACTTTCTTGTGCAGTTTGCTCCGACATTCTCATATAGTCATCAATGGAATAAGGCAACTCCCCCATAGCTATAAACTTGATTACAACAACACATTTTTACAATCCTGTAAAACCTCGTTTACCTCTCGCATCATACCTTATTTGGAAAAATTCATACCTAAACATATATTTAATTTGTAAAAAATGTATACTTATGTTATCTAAAAACAATTATCTAAAAAGTATATTTATGCTATCTAAAAAACAATTATCAAAAAAGTGTATTTACGATACCTGCTTTCCAATGTATTGACTATCCGTTGAAACACATTTTTTCGCAAACAAAACATTCTTTTGAAATCGCTAGGTTGGTAGACACAATTATCTACAAAATACTTGTGTACTAGACGTCTATGCCTTTCTTCACGATCCCTGTTCGACGCCACACGCCTTGTGAGTAGTGGAGCTAGCTCTGGCGGTAGCACGTAGAATATCGGTACATCATACTCACGAATATATCATTGTGGTCGTCATCATCGTTGTATGGATAGAATGGATCAAAATAATCCGGGTTTTTTTTGGTTTTTTTTTTGTAAATAGAAAAATAGAAAAGATAATGAAGTTGAAAGAAATGTGTATTTGAGAGAAATTGATGAATTTTGTAGGTAAAAATTTGAAGTTAAATGTGTATATATATTTGAGTTAAAATGATTTTTTTACGTGACCGTTGTGAAACAGTTGAATAATAGACTGTTAAATGTGTATATATGCGTGTTTCGTCCCGTTGCCACACCAACGAGTAATAACGTAACGACAAATAACGGGGACATGGGCGGTGTTTTGCCCGTTATATCGGCGTTATTAAGTCGTCTAAGATTAATGTAAGACAATACAATCCGCTAGATCAAAAAATATACAAATGATTATTTTTAGAGGAAAAAAAAAACTATTTTCATAAAATATATATATTAGAAAAAAATACCATAAAATTAATATATGATAATACAATCTCTTAGACAAATTAACACCAAGATCATAAAATAATATTAAAAAAATTAAAAAAAAATTATTTTTAAAAACGTTCTTATATTTTGAATTTATTTACAAAAAAATCCTTATATTATATTGGTGATTGCTTTACCGGTAAAAATGATAAAAATGAATATAATTGATCTTTTGGAACTTGAATAAAAATAAATAAAGTATACATGGATTAACATAACATTAAATTTTGCATGAAAAACTTCGGAACCATTTATAAATTTTTGGGAATAAATAAACGAAAAGGTCTCGCTATCAGTGCTTTTTGGTCAACATTTGGAATGTAAATGACGAAGTCTCGAGCAATGATTCGTTGTGACTTGTACCTCGTGCATGATAAGTTGCACATACGGTTTTATCCCTTTCACTCCTTAAATAAATAGAGTTTGATTTAAAAGTCAAAACACCTACAGTCGTTAATTTTCAAGCAGTCCTATGTAAAATAATTATTTTTAATGCAAATTTTCTTGTGTGCCGGAAATGATCTTTGTTTGAATATCCTCACACTCTCACAGCCTGTGTTAATTCTCCGCTTAACTTTTAGCCTTAAAACAACTTATATATGGGAAAATCAAAGTTTTTTCTTGTGAGGGAGAACACAATGAGCTCCTATATAAACACAAAGCTTCTTTCTTTCACAATCATCAAACATACACACAAAGAAATAAAAGAGATCTAAAGATGGGAAAAGATGATGTGAAGCTTCTAAGCATGTGGGCTAGCCCTTTTTGCATGAGGGTGAAGGTGGCATTGGCAGAAAAAGATATTGCTTATGAAGAGATTTTAGAGAATAATTTGTTAGGTGGAAAGACCGAATTGTTGCTAAAATCAAACCCTGTCCATCAACAAGTTCCTGTCCTCTTGCACGACAATAAGCCCATCCTCGAGTCCACTAACATTATCACTTACATCGATGAAGTTTGGTCTTCCAAACCCCTCTTGCCCACTTGTGCATATGAGAAAGCCCGAGCCCGCTTTTGGGCCGATTACATTGATCGCAAGGTAAGCCCTCTTTTTAATTAAGCTTACTATGACAATACAAGTACTTGATTGGAATACCCGTAATTGATCCCAACTGGTCCATATCCGAGGATGTGAGACCTGGTTTTGGGATCAATTACGTTATGTGGTCCCAAAACCACTTGTGGAGTTGTGGGATATTAGCCACCTGACATACCACAATATAATACAACCGGTTTAAAGTGATATACTTTTAGAAATAGTTCATCATTATGTATATGTATATCCTAGGTCCACTCGGCGGGTCGGGCCATTTGGACTGCAAAAGGAGAAGATGAAGTAGAGGCCGCTAAGGCAGCATTCCTTGATATCTTGAAGTTCTTAGATGGCACTTTGGCTGGAAAAGACTACTTCGCTGGGGACAACTTTGGGTTTGTGGACATACTGCTTGTTGGTCTAACTTCGTGGTTCCCAGCCTACGAGAAATACGGTAGCTTTAAGGTGGAGGATCACTACCCTAAATTGGCAGCATGGATCACGCGGGTCCATGCTAGGGAGAGTGTTTCTGAATCTTTGGCTAATCCTGAAAAAATCCTCAACTTTGTAGTAATGTTGAGACAAATGTTTGGTGTTGAATAAATGAAGATTGTTATGTCATGAATGATGATGATATAATATTATCCGTGGTGGGGTGTTTAGATCCACTAAGAATAAGGAGTTGGAATAAAATTGGTTTGAAAATTATCTTTGAAAAAATTAATGTTGTCTTTGAGGGAGAGAATTTTTTTTTTTTTTTTTTTTATTTTTTTATATTTTTATTTGATGTAATGGATCAAATTGGATATCTTGTTGAATGTTTGATCTTTTTTTTTCTATATAAACAAAATTTATTAATTCTGAGATGTTTTAGATTAATGTAATTTTCTTGTTATTAAAGTTTAATTTTAGATACGTTACTTTCCCCTAAATCAAATAGTTTATATAGTGACAATTTTATTAAATATGTTTATAATTTTTAGTGACAATTACTTGTTCTAACATGTGATTTTTTTATATCAAAATTAAAACATATCTATCAACTTTTAAAATATGATGTAAGTAGAAATAAGATACTCTGCTATTTATTTTTGTGATGACATTAAGAGGTATATAAGGGAGAGGATCAAATGAGAACACTTAAAATGTTGAGAATGCGAGAACAGTTCTGGGACCAATAATTTTATAAGGGTATATTAGTAACTTTATATAAATATTAATTATTGATTTCCTAAAATCTAGGGATAATGATTTTAATTACCTAAAAAATTAATATTTCCTTTTAGTTAATAAAATATATATAAATATATTTTTTTTATGATTTTTCCCGAAAATTATTTATGACCGTTTCAAAAAAATCACGTATAAATTTTAATATTTCATTTTATTTTAAATCTGAAAAGAAAATCTTAAAAAAAAATATTATTTTCTACTATTTCACGTTTTTGTTTTTAAAAAAAAATGAATAGAAATCCAATTGCAAATCAATACATTTCCAATCATTAATGAAAACACATCAAAATACAAATAATTCAATGCATTTTTCATAAACTGAAAAAAAAGTGTAAAAATTATCATTTTTTTCATAAAATGAATACCTCTAATCATAAATAAATACACACATTCACATGAATACACTAATATTCATAAATAAATACAATCATTCACACATGAATACATTGCAATTCACAAATGAATACATTGTTATTTATAAATTAATACACATTCTATGATAAATGAATACACGTGTTATTCATAAATGAATACAACTATTCACACATAACTACAATGTTATTCATAAATGAATACACGTGCTATTCATAAATAAATACAACCATTCACGCACCCTCTTCAAGACATTATTATCAAAAAATTCGAAAATTAGGATTGTGTTTCTTTCCATTGGTACACCTCGCTGTCGCTTTTTGGTTTGCAAAATCTCTCCCATAATGTGGGAAATTGCCCCTGAAAGGGGTCAGAATGTAGTTGTTGTTTCCAGGATCAGAAGTGAAGTCTCCGAACACCAAAATAGCAGAAACCTTGTGGTTTTGAGTAGATGTTTTCACGATAAGATTTTGTGGTTCATAAAACTTAATTCCATAGCTAGATTCATGTATGAATAGAAAGAAATACGAGTAAAGAAATGTAGTTGATTAAACCTCATTGATTTATAGTCAAAATAAAAAGAAAAGAAAAGAGAATCATTACCGATCGAAGCAACTGCCCCATCGAGACCCCTTCCATCATTCCAGTAGAAAATGCTCTCACATACATTTTATCGAGCACCTTATGTGCACAGTTCATCGCCTTTTTTTTAAAAAAAAACACATATGTTAGATCCATCTCTCCTGCGCTCAATCATCCAGACAAGTTTCTCATATGCTTTTTTAACGAATGTATCACATTGGGATCAGAAAGAACAGTTTATCAATGTGATTGATCACATGTAGATTTTAAATCTATAGACAAAAACATAAGAGAGATTTCCGCAATCAAGACTAACAAACCGCAAATTCAGGAAATATAAAGTCGATTATTAGGATCAAAAACCAAATTTTAGAATATAAACACGCAATTGAATCGAATAACAACAACAAATCGAACGTACCTTTCTTTGATCGGGATCTGTAGAGATATGGGGAAGAAGCGATTGTGAGTCGGTTGGATTGATTTGAAGTAGATGAAGCATGGATGAGCCAATGAGGAGGCGTAACTAACCATAGCACCATGGCAAAAACCCTCATCGGAGCTACTGTTTCCGCTTGCCTTGCTCCATCGGGCCAATATGCTACCGGAATCGAAGGAGATGCAGCCAAAAACTGCTTGAGCAGCCCTTGCTGCACCTACCGAGACCAATGATGATGGGAACAAATCTTCGTGGTGGGTTTTAGGTGATGCCCAGATCGATGATGGCGTGAGTTTTATGAAACCCTAAAAAGAAGAGGTGGAAATATATACACGATAGATTAAAGGAAATATATGAACGGGTGAGAAATTATAGGAGATAGTAAAGTTGAAATTCCTGTTATGTCCTTTTAACCATTTAAAAGTTACATTTTAATGCCAACAGTTTAAGAACTTTTCATAAAAACCCCTTTCAATAATGACCTTAGATTTAAGTATTTAAATGGTCCATATATATATATATATATATATATATATATATATATATATATATATATATATATATATATATATATATATATATATATATATATATATATATATATATATATATATACAGGTTCATTTGAGACCATTCTAATTTTGTGAGACCGTGAAACCAAATCTAAAAATAATTTTAAAATGCAAAATAAATGGAAAAATCCAAAAATTCTTTTTTTAAATATTATTTTCGGAACCTGAATTAACCAAAAAAAAAAATTTAAAAATTTAAAAATTAAAAAAAAATTCCGTTTTTTTTTTTAAAAAAAATAAGTGAAATATTCTAATTGGAATATTATACTGACATATTCTAAAAAATAATTTTAAAATGCAGAATAAATGGAAAATCTAAAATTTTTTTTTTAAATATTATTTTCAGAACTTGAATTAACTAAAAAAAATAAAAAAAAATAAAAATAAATTCCATTTTTTTTAAAAATACGTGAAATATTTTAATAGAATATTAAACTGACATATTCTAAAAAATAATTTTAAAATGCAAAATAAATGGAAAAATCCAAAAATTCTTTTTTTAAATATTATTTTCGGAACTTGAATTAACTAAAAAAAATTAAAAAAATAAAAAAAATAAAAAAATGCATTTCACTGTCTCACAAAATTAGGCCGTCTCACATGAACCTAACCCTATATATATATATATATACATATATATATATATATAGTATATTATTAAACATATTGCATATTTCTTGAAAATTAAGATTAAGAGTTTCCGCGAATCCATACTAGCTAACTTTACACCTACCTGGCCCCAGATAGAATGAGTTTTCCTAGCCCGCTTTTCTCGTCCATCCTGCCCTGCGCCGCTTACAGATTCAGTTGCAGGTATCTAAGCATATATGTTTTATGAAATGATCAGCGGTTTCATTTATGCTATGCCCTGCATCGTGTTCGTCTGTGTTTATTGCTTGTAAGATAAGACCAGTAGATGAATTAGGAAAGAGGCTTATAACACCATATACAATCCTATTAAGCTTAGAATATATACACACACGATATCATCGTACCGTAACTTACGGTGTTATATGTCTTAGATGTTGGAAAAACCTAATATCTTCCATTGGCCGTTATTTCTTCCGGATCTCTTTCGTCTCCCTCCTTATTCTCTTCAATCTCCGGTAGCCTCGGTTACCACCAACCTCCTGACGTTGCCATTACCTTCACTGGGTCTGCCGCTCGCTTCTACCTTCTATCGAGATGAGAAACCCTAACTCTGTCTCGCTTCCACGATCAACGCCACCATCACACACTAGAAATCCTAACCCTAAAGTGGCTCCACCATCGCCACAAAACATCTCACTGTATAAAGCTGATCGAGGTGGGTTATTCAAGAGATCAAGGTGGGTTATTTTAGAGTTTCTTTATGTTCTTACTTTATTTTTTGTTTTGCCTTGATGAATTTGTTGAATGCTTTATACAATGTGTGGATTTTGTTCAGATTATTATAATGCTTTTGGACGATCATTTTGTCAATCCTGATTTCGTGACTCATTATAAACATGTGTGTTTCGGTAGTCTATTTGAATTTTACTTATTTTTTTATGTCAATTTCATGAATCGAGTGCATATATGGTTCATGATCATATGAAAATTGGGTGATTTTCTTAATTATCACATTCTTCTTTTTCTACAGATTTTGTGTAATTTGGTTGATGGTAACAGCGAGATAGGCTCCATTGATATTGGCTGCAATGCATGGGAAGATCTCTTGTAGACTAATAAGAATAGAGGTATATAGTGATAAAATATTGACGACACTGTGATCGATACAAAGAGATACATGAAGTATATATACAAAGACAGAAACCTTAATATACAGCTACAGTAGGTACACTACTTTTGTTAGTTGATTAGACTTGGTCTTCAGCACATGGTAAACCAAATTAAACACACAAATACATGCAGGTATGTATTCATGGTGTCAATGGTGAGCTCTACTGAAACCTCAAAATGGCTTTCTTTATCCGTCACTCTCTCTCGACACCGTTTCTACATCCATTGTCGTCTTGGGTAAACATATTCTCTTGTCTTCATCAACTCGCGTTGGTTGGCCGTAAACAATATATCATTCAATCTGATATCTTTTAATTTATTATTGGAGTAAGAGACAAAAACAAGATCCTGATGATTAGCTTTTAAAGGAAATTCAAAAATCTCTGAAGGAATCATTAGAAAAGTGTGTTGCTGAGAGGCAAGGCTAAATTAGAGCTCAAGTGGTTACATAAAACAAACTGTTTTTTGATTTTGTAAATGTGTCCACTGTTTGGCAATTCACAACTCATTTGTTTTAACTTTGAATAATTATATAAACAGGATTAAAAAAACAATGCTCCAAGCTAAAATATACAACTTGGAGACGATTTATCCCATGGCTTTTATTGCTATCATCAAATCTTATTTCTCTACAAGGTAATTATTACAAATTTCAAGTCTCTTTAAATAGAAAAACTCCCAAAAGAATTTCATAGTAAAATGTATAATAATTTAATTAAAAGCTTCAATAAAGAAATATTCTAATTGGCATGCCTCAAATCTAAAACTCATATAAACGTGTTCATGAATTCACATGTTTATAGTTACACCCAATGATTTTGCACTTATAAATTCATCAACTTTTTTCAAATGTTCAGAAATGGAACACCAAGGCAACCTCTAATTGCAAATCTTGCAAGGGCACTTTTCACATTTGATACATCGTGTGTCCCACCATCTTCTCTTGAAGGTCTTGAGGAGTATTCTCTTTTCTGGATCACATATGTTTTTCATCTTTGATATTGATCTTAATAAGTTATGGAAACATCCATCTATGTCAAAGTTGAAAGCAAAGGTGTGTAATGTGTATCTCTTGTTCTAATTCTCTCAATCTTTATTATCTTTTTATAATCTGCATCCACATCAAATGTTGCAGGTAAGAGTACCAAGATTGAAAGGTGAAAAAAGGGGCTCTGTACTACAAAATCACCACGTCCATGCCTAATTGGTCCTACAGTTGCAAAAGTAAGTTAAATTGTGTAATTTGTGTTTAATAATCATTGCAAGATATTAAAAACATTGATTTTGGTTCAAAAAATTGTATTTATTTATTTATGTTTGTAAAGGAAACCGCATTGTGTTAATTCCATTATGCATATGTACAAAACCCCTAATCTAAAATAGGAATAAAGCCTCTTTTTAATAGTTTTTATGAAGTAGCTACATAAATTTATGACCTTTTTTTTTTTTTTTTGCACAGACACAATTTTGATGGCATAATTGGGTTGAAGATCAAGTTGAAAGACATGCGAGGTAACAGGCGGTTTCTTGTTGTTGATTGTTTTTTTAATAATCATTCATATGATAAAAAATAACATAAATATTGTTCGAGCAGGATGCGTTGACTAGATTTTGTGGTGGTATGTCCAAAAGCATGATGGAGGTAACGGTTATAAATTATAATATGAAAAATCTCATAAGGCTTGGGTTTAATCATTATAATATTGTAATATGGTTATTTATCAATCATATTTACCTAAAGTAAATGAAACTGTGTTAATATTTCAAGCATTTAATCAATTTAGATTACTTGGCATATAAATACGAAAAGGAACAACTTTATACAAAAAAGTAATTTTTGCCAATTGCAACATTCATATTCTCAAATATCTTTTAAAATGGGTCAATTTTGGATTTATTCTTTTTTCAAAAAGAATATGTAATGTAAATGTTTCTTTAATTACTATTATAACCTTTAATATGCAAAATAAAACAGTGTTTTATTTTTATAGTTAATATATAAGTAAAACTATAATAAAGATTTATCAATTAGTCCATGTTTTTATATAATTGACCCATGCTAAACTTCCATTTTTTTTCAAACTTTCCATTATCTTTATTATGATTTTGTATGCTATTTATTATAATTGTATAATTATTTGATATTTAATGTAGGGCTACGGTATATCGATGCATCAACTTTTATGTGTACATGTTCTAAATGAACAAAATTGTATGATTGGTGATTGTTGTAACTTTTGTATTGTAAAATCAACTATTAACTTCCCAATGTATATTAAACTTCCAATACAATTGTATATGCATAGACAAGAGATGAATTTACTTACTAATAGCAATGTATATATTCTCCATTCAGTCTAATGCACCAAGTTCAATTTTGGTTTTCAACAACGATTTGTGTCCTGCAGCATTGCGCGGGTACACAACTAGTATATATATATATATATATATATATATATATATATATATATATATATATATATATATATATATATATATATATATATATATATATATATATATATATGCATGTTAGTTGATTGTAATAACAAAAAAAATGCCGAGTTGCAATATATCATTATATGGTATTTGTTTGCAATGGAAAAATGAAATGTATTGTAGTATCGTCATTTAATAAAAATTGAGTAAACATTGCATAACCAGTTCATCGAGATTTGAATCCTCAAAAAAAAAAAAACATTTATTACAAAACGGGACGCACTATTATATAGTTTTGGTATTATAAGAAAAATTGGTACGAGAATGTTCGTAAATTTATTCAAGTATTGTTACAATACATATTAAATTTATGATAATAATAAGGTTTATAAGAAGGCATAAATAACTTGATGGTTGCGACAAATACTTGTGATAGTCAATGAACTCGGGAACGAAATATGTATATAAATAAAATACTTAACTCAAATGTTATAAATCGGTGTACTTGGGTTCCATTCTATGTATTTTTGGTTTCGAGAAAGCTAATATTTCAATTCTTAGTAGAAACACTCCATTTTATAACCATTAATCCGCAAGGAACGACTAACGAAATGTATAAGCATCATACTATTGATTTTATTCAGTTCAATCGTCCGCCTGTAGTTGCTAGCTACAACTAATGTTTGATATTTAGTTCCATGAAAATTACCACATGCTATAACGAGATGAATGACTTTAGCATGCCCTATTTTGAAGCCGGTGCAAAAAGTGTAGTGTCAGAAGTTCGGTTATTAGTTCATTATAAAATCCTGAATTTATCTCAATCTTATACGGAATTAGAATACTATTCATACATCGATCAATCACTCCACGAATTAGATAATAATTAAGGATAGTAAAAAGGAATTGCCTTACTGATCTTCTGTTGGTTTTCAAACTAACTAATATTACAATCAATTATAATAATTAAGATACAACAATTTGACACCCATAAAATCATTGATTAATAGTTTGCATATAATTTACGCAATCATGGAATAAAGCTCTTAAGGTGGAAAATGATCATTTTTACGTCTTGAAAAGGATAAAATTTCTCATTTTTTTTACTTAACTCTTTACATGAAAATACCTTTCATTATACAGATTTATGGATTCAAAACTTGTATAACTCACCAACAAATTTGTTGACGTATCTTAACATGTATTCTCAGGAAATTAAGACATGAATCCATGCGAATAGAATGGGACCATCATATTGTGTTTCTATTATAAATTATGTTCTATGCCCACTTATCGCATCTCTGATGACTTGTCGTGAACCATGTAATAAAGTAAGATATAATTATGACCTATGTTGTGTAAAACCTTAAGTGGTTGTTTTAATGTTCAATATATGTTATGTTTGTGGTATTCAAATTACGTCACTTTCCTGGGTTCTTATATCCACGAAAAGGTAATGAGCAGCCCTACACTTCTATAAACTCATATCTTCCTAAATACCTTCCGAACGAAAGTCCATTTTCCACAAAATCCTAAACTGACACTTTACCGAAAATACCCATAGGCTCCAAAACACAAACCGAACATTCATAATGCTTTTAAAACATCGCTCGCACCCAAAATGGCCTAGTTCTTACCATTTTCAAAAGCCATAATCCTTATGATAACCAGCCTTCGGGCCACAACCTCAAACTACGAGTCAATTCAGAACAGGGTGTTAGAACTCTACCCCAGTTAAATTAGATTTCGTCCTCAAATTCATTCATTACCATCCCTGATATACCAGACGACTTGAACAATACGCCCACAAACCCGAAAATACCACAGCCTTCTAAAGGTCTGAGTTCCATAATGATCTATCTTCCTGGTAGACCGCCTATGCCCTAACTACCATGCCAAAACCTCATCGAGTAACTGACCAATGCACATTCCCTATTGTTGATTACTAATACTGTTTGATACTTTGAAGCTACCCATAACACATAATTGCCTGAAACACTGAACTGCTTAAAACACTAAACAACCCGAAACACTCAACTATCTGAAACACTAAACTGCTTGAAACAATGAACTGCCTGAAACACTGAACTGCCTGAAACACTGAACTGCCTAAAACATTGAACTATCTGAAACACTAAACTACCTGAAACACTAAACTTCCTGAAACACTGAACTATCTGAAACAATGAACTGCCTGAAACACTGAACTGTCTAAAACACTGAACTGCCTGAACAACACGTTGCTACATGGTTGCTTCCCCAAGGTCCATTGGGACCTCCTTGGTTCCAGCCTATCTGGAAAACGGACGCCCCATCTGGTTGCTGAGTCAAGAGTAATCTCATAGTCGCCCTACACGACTTCCAAGCGTAATCCTTTTTAGCAACAATTTCCACAAGTTCTCTTGCCACCGTGGCTCTAACGACTTGGTGATCTACTGATCGAGTCCATACGTCGAGTCCTAACATTAACAAATTCCAAAGATAAAATGACTGCTACGCGACCAATAGTAGCCTTATATCTCAAATGACCTTAAACGACCCATTGCTTCTTTGATCTCATAACTGTAGTGGTGATCCCACGGTCTCATCACTAGCCCAAACAAGTCTAATTCATCTGAGAAATCTGTAACCAATCTGTGGATTTGCCACACCCTCACTGTTGCGCCCGAACTGGTGGGTACTACTATTCTCCTTGTGATCTGCCATCACTCCCATACTAACTGCCACCCTAGTGAAATTCATGCCAACCATCACAGGTTTACAACAATCTACTGCTATCTGAAAACTTGGTGAATGCTACGGCTACACCCGCAGACTTACAACATTCTAACACTATCCGACTGCTAGTGAATGCTACGACTACACCTGCAGACTTACAACACTCTAACACTATCTCGCTGCTAGTGAATGTTACGGATACACCCGCAGACTTACAACACTCTAACACTATCTGGCTGCTAGTGAATGCTATGGCTACACCTGCAGACTTACAACACTCCCACACTGTGTCGAACACACACTTGACCTAACACTCAACTACACTTGAGTCTTAACTGGGGCTCTAACGTGGTTCCTAAAACCTGCTTCCCAAAGAAAATGAAAAGTGTAAATCTATTGTTGGAACGTTTTTCTGAACTCCCAGCTCATCCAATCCTCAATCAAGACGACCACTCGACCGTCTCCCGTTCTGACAGAAAAATCTCTAGCTTGGTTTCCCAACCAGTCATCAGCTAATCGTGGATACACGGACTCGACTTCGGGGAGTTTTCCCCAACTCCTCGCTCACGCGCTCCTCCATCCAAACAGCCACTTGGGCTGCTTTCCTCCTCAACAATGATGCGATCCAATCCAGTATCACACTTACTTCTGCTTTTGACCACTCGGGTGGTTCTCCCCCACTTTGATTCCACTAGCTCCTTATAGCTTACAGCTTGAAAATGATTCTCAATCATTTTCTCCATCTAATGGCGATATGCTGACAACCAATACTTACTATTGCGAGTGCTTCACTACTAGCCAGGCCAAGAGATCACACCACCTCCTAGAACCCGAACAAATCTCCGGTAATAACCCGCTAGACCCAAGAAGCTCTGAATCTCAATTGGAGACCTCGGAATCTCCCACTGCATCACGACCTCTATCTTGGCCGGATCGACTATAATATCCTTTTGATTGACAAGGTGCCTAAGAAATTTCACCTCGTGCAACCAAAACTCACATTTGGAGTACCTTGCAAAAATTCTCTCCCTCCTCAAAGTCTCTAGCACTCCCCTCAGGTGCTTCTCATGATGCTCCTTAGTCTTGGAATAAACCAAGATGATGATGTACTCTCCCAATCCTGCAATTTGGGATATGATCTTTCGATATCCGCTAGTAATTCTTGGTATGAAATTGGCATATGCAATTTCTTGGAAGTATAATTCAAACACAAAAAGAGGATAACCTAGAGTCACACTTACTCAAATCCTTGGAACGAAAGGCTCCTTTGTGCAGTTTCCCGTAAGTGCTACACCAAATCTGTTCTTGTTGGTCTCTCAAAAGCTAATACTAAATCTAGGGTCTCCTCCCGAGACCCTTCAATATAAGCAACCGATCTGGTTCCCTATTACCAATGTGCTCCAAGTCCATATCCCTTTCTCAAGATCTAGAAGTCATATCGTTTAGGGTCTTGCACCCCGAGATGCTCACGATCTCCCTGCTATCATTCTATAATATGTTTTAATAGCTTACCTTATGCGTTTCCTTAT